ACCTGGCCTGCCACAACATAGTGTCTGGGATTTGTAGAAGCTGACATAATGAAAATGTTTTTATTGACTCTTCCAATTCCCTGTCTTTAACTTGTCCACCAAAAACATCTACTGGGTATACTCAATAGCAATGGAAGATTTTTGTGGCCGTTACCAAAGCTCTAACAACAAGAACATATCTAGTGCATTAGGCTATAAATGACTGGGACATCCTAACGACAATTCAACTAAACAGTTATTAAATTAATTGCAAACATCACAAATAAGATTATAAATAGTCCTTGATTTACAGTTACTTATACTAGGATCAGTGTTACGTAAACTCTATAAACAAAGTGAAATAAGGTCACAAACATGCATTTAATTTTACCTCATTTTACTTCAGACATATTGTTGGGATCACCAAAGACCTAAAAAAAAATGTTTATTACTCCTTTATAGTTTATAGATAGAAGTGATTATTAGCTTCTTCCAAAATACCTTTGCAGGTGCACTTAGTTTGCTTCCCTATGAATTTGCTAATTTCAGAAAGCTAACAACTCCTGGCTAGGCATGGTGGCTCATGCCTGTAATCCTAGCACTTTGGAAGGCCGAGGCAGGCAGATCGCTTGAGGTCAGGAGTTCGAAACCAGCCTGGCCAACATGGCAAAACCCCGTCTCCACTAAAAATACAAAAATTAGCTAGATATGATGGCTTACGCCTGTAATCACAGCTACTCAGGAGACTGAAGGAGGAGAATTGCTTGAACCCAGGAGGCAGAGGTTACCGTGAGCCGACATCATGCTACTGCACTCCAGCCTGGGCAACGGAGTGAGACTTCATCTCAAAAAAAAAAAAAAAGCTAACAATTCCTTTAGAAGAAAGTAGATTTTAAACTCTATATACTTTCCAGGTAAGATTTGAAAAGAAAAAGAAAACCTGTGCAAACAAAAAACCTTTGGTCTATATTTCTCTTCTGGACCCTTGAAGTTACCTTTTTGACCCTTTGGTTCATGTAGTCACATTTATCATTTAATAACACATGATTAATGATATAGTAAACTTTCATATTGAGCATATGAGGGTTTTGAAGAGAGTGAATTAATCTACTTTGCAGTTACTGAATTATAATTCAGTGCTATTATCTATTATAGGTCTATTATCTATTGTAGATCTGAGAACAAAAAGACTCACAAAGCTTAGTTTCCAGTTTTTCTCTTGTAACCGATTTGCTGCATAAGCTCAAGTCATTTGCCTAATCTCTGTTTGCCAGTGTCCTATGTTGTAAAATGTAAAATAGGCCATAAAAACTAGCTTCCAAGGTTATTGTAAAGATTTGATCATTTAATAGTTAAATTCATTACTGCCCCACATTTCTGTGACCATTATCACTACCTATGGTAAGTTGAGGCACTTATGAGAAAACAAATCTTGTATAGACTTTAAATGGTTGCTAGCATCCTCTAGAATACCTTCACAGGTACATTGTTTGGCTTCTCTGTTAATTTATGTAAGATACTATGTTTTGTAGTGGTTGTCTAAGCTTTTTTATAATTGATTTATTGGATCCTTAATCTTGGCATACTCCAGCCGTCCAGATCGCCTTCGGGACATTGCTGATCGCTTCAATGTAGACCATGATGCAGTACTGGACAACGTACTTTATGCACGTGCATATACTAGTAAGAGCCCCATGCAGTTGGATGCTTGGGTCAATGTAAGGTTGGCAGCACTGATTTACTACTTGAGTGATATAACATTTTGATACTTTTTTTCTATTTTAATTTTCTCTAAATTAATTTACTCAGTCTATAAATTTTATCATCTGGTAGATCCTTAGATAATAAAGTGCCCTTAAATTATTTATTATTCTTAGTCTTTGAAATGAAGAGTAACATTCTTTTTGAATAATGTAGCATTTGGTATATATGCTAAGGCAGAATA